GCAATCGATATCCCAGCTTCATTTGATTCGTTGCGGGCGAGAGTGAGCATCCATCACGGCAGGCAAGGCTGGTGCACTTTTTCACCGACTCAACTGGCCTTTCTAAGCGGTGCTTGAAGCAGCTATTGCAAGGCTACTTAAGCACACTTAGGCTATTCCAGTTCATTCCGTCTTCCCTGACTTGTGATTTGGGGAGCCTTCTGTTGTCAACGAAGCGACTAGCTTTCGATAAGATCCCTGCACGTTTATTAGATAATTGATGCCATTGGCCCGTCAATAAACTTTGATTTTGTTCTCCCTATCGCATGCAATCACTATGGAGGTCAGAAGTGCAAAAGTGTCTCATGCAACCCTTGTCTCCGTTGGGTGAATCAGGATTTACATTGACGGTTGATGCTGCATGTTCCACAGCAACACCATCCGACTCGGCAAAAGCTCTTTTGCTTGCAGTTTCGGTCTCAACCTCTATTTGCTGGTGCTAATTTGTTCTCAATGGCGGTTCCTAATCACATTCCCACTAAGCGACCACGTCACAAACGTAGGAAATTAAGCGTTGTTTTACAAGGCAAATTGGTTCTTCACATTCATTACTGCATAATCAAATACAATTTCTGGCTTGCAATTTACCCGCATACAGAGGTGTCAGGGCCTCGGGAAGAGCGTCAGCGCAGAGACAAGTCTATCATGAATGCATGCGCGAGAACTACTGGAAGCTTGAGTATCAACCAGCAAATGTATCAGCAGCAGACACGCGTTACGTCCATATGGCCAATATGCGCCACCCAGTTTTCAGCCAATGACGCAAGCCATCACCATAACGCGTAGACCCAGCCTTATCGCGACCACTAACGTTCCTTTCACTCGATTGAGTAGGATCCTATTCACATCAGCCCCTACAACCCCTCCCCCCTTACTTTCTGTTTGACTACAAAAATGCGAGGTATCTTGTTGCTAGAAGACTGGCAAAGGTGACTGTGCTCCTAGTAGAAGTCGTACTGCAATGCGTTCTCCGTTGGATGGAAACTAAACTTCATTAATGTTAACGTAGTTTCTACAAGGTAAGACGTCTTAATTTAATGTGGGCTTAAAATACAGACAGCACATGCACACCTCTAAGTATTCCATTTCTGTCAAATACTCTCCGTAACCCTCCACTACTGGTACTCTATAATCTGTGCATGGATAGCGTCCATGTTCGCAAGTGAACAGTGTGCTCAGAGGGCTTCAGGGGATCATATTACTGAATGAGCACTTTGTTACGTTACAAAAAGCTACCTAGTAACTACAGTCTAAGCACCCGTTGAAGGATTTTCAGATCGAAGATCTGAGTGGTATACGACAGAGGTTTCCGTCTTTAACGTTTTTTAAACAGTCTATCTAAACGAAAGCATTTAGCAGCAACTTATTCCAGAGGATCTTAGTCTGTGACGTTAAAGCGGCCGGATAACACAGGTTTTTATAGCGAAACTTCGGAACCCGTAAATAGAGAATATGGTAAGATGTGAGGTGTCGTGACTATTAACGATTGAAGTCATCAAATGTTAAATATAAATGCCTGTAGACTGCTTGAAATCCCGTTTTCATACCCCGGAGGATCAGTTACAAAAGTAGGCCAAGGAAAGGAAGAAGATTACGACTGAGTAAGGACCCTTGGCATAAAGACGGGTTCAATAGATTCTCAGTGACGCCAAAGGCCTGTGCGTAACCGGTGATGACAGATGCTATATACGTCCGGCTTATGAAATATAGGCAGCGGGCCGTTTAGATAGCTTTCGAGAGTCCAAATCAACCTACGTAAGTTATATACACTATTTTCTATCATCTTTTATTCAGTAATTGCAATTTCAGTGTCGATTGTAAGGTTTGGGTACTGCCCGATAAAGCTCGCACCTTTGAGCGGACATATTAAAAGGATATATAGGACGAATTAACCACAACTGACACCAGACTGCATGTTTAATGTTCTAAGTCCAGTCAGTTGGTCATGGGTCGACGCCCTCACCACCGCTCCACAGGTTCACGTCATAGTGAGGGCCTGAATTTTAAACCCATGATGTGTGCAGCCCAGCATTGTTGTATTATTGGTTGAGGATAGTACGTAAGCCATGAATGGTAAATCCAGTGTCCACGTACATTTAGAGAAGCTTTCAAATGACCGATTCGTCAATTCCATGGCGCCGTTTGCTTTGACTGCATACCCAGAATATCACTGCAAGACGGGATTCTCTAATAGACGTGAATACGCTAGTTCCAGGAAGCAGTTCAGAAGAAGAAGATGCGACCACTGGAACAAGAGTTTTATCTTCCTGACGTTTAGGATTCGGACTTTTCTACGTTTACCTATGATTAAGGATTCTCTTGTTCCAGTGTTCGCGTCTTCTTCTTCTGAATGGGATTCTCTATCTATGTCTCTTAAGCATAGCAGATCGGAGCCGTTGTTGACAGATTATTCCGGCAAATCCTAATAAACTTCAAATACGCGATACTGCTGATGCTTCTAATAAACACTTTGATCTTTACATTTCCCGGAAAAATCACATAGTGTAAGGGGGACTAGGAGAGCCACAAATTCAAAAACAGAGGTTTGCAAGTAGATGGAGGGGGGTTGGAAAACTCACATAAAATGAGTGGTAAGATGGCGTCTCCTCAGTCAGATCGGAGTAGTAATGGGCGTAGAAATGGCGCGGCACCGGAGCGACACTGGCCGCACGCTGATAGGTGGGAAGTGA